AGCCACATACAGGTAGTAGCTTCTGTATTAAACAGCACAGATTATACAATAGTTCCATCATCTCAGAAACTTCTATTGTGCAACAGTGCTACAGAGTAAAAAAGTTCTTTTAGACTTGTTTAGCAGCAATTAAGAGGCCTCCTTGCTTTTTCTCTTAGTCACCACTAAGCTGTCAACAAAGTAGGACCCACAGTGAAGTTCCCAGAGCCAGCAGCCAGTCACTATACTGTAGGGCTTTACCGTCCAATGCAGTAGCTGGTGGCCAGATTAAAACTTTAATTAGAATGAATTATATTAAAAATTTATTTCCTTCATTGCACTACCCACATTTCAACTGCTCAATAGCTACATACAGCTAGTGGCTTCTGTATTGAACAGCACAGATTATACAATAGTTCCATCATCTCAGAAAGTTCTATTGTGCAATGATGCTATAGAGTAAAGCTCTTTTAGACTATTCTTTTATATTATGCAAGAAAGATTATGAACACTTCACAAAAGTCCCAAGAGTGTAACTTATCACAGGTTACACTGTGATAGTCCAGGTTCCATCCAATCAGACTGAAGCCAAAGGGAGAAGAAACAATGTTGTTTCTGGAAGTTTCTAAAAAGGCATAATTCAGACATGATCCTCCTCCAGGATCTTTAGTGAAGTCTCAGGCTAATTATTATGCAAGAAAATCTTACAGAACTTGGGAGCCTGTAAAAGAAGAATCACTTACCTCCTAACATTCATGTTAAGGATGAAGATGAAGTTTAAAATAACATATCTGAGGATGAAAGAGAAAACTGGAAGTCCACTTATTTTTAAAATGGTGCTTGGAACATTGGAATTTATAACTTATTTGAACAGGAGATATGAATGATGTCCTTTCAAGTTGCTCAATCCTGTATTTCTACTTGACAACAATTTCAGTAAGCAAGCAAGCATTTAATTCCTAAATTTGCATATAAGTCAAAAAAAGGATCTTTTTATACTCCAATACCTAAGTTTTGATTCCACAAGAGTGAGAACATTCTCATGTAAGATTAGGAACTAGAAATAGTATTATAATAGAATATAATTATGCATTAGGGAAAAATAAACTAAGAATGTAAAGGAAAAGACTAAGATTGCCCTGGAATTTAGTGGCAAGGTTCAAATGCACTGCCTTTAGTAAAACGGCAACAGAGGAATTCCAGAGGATCAGGAAAAAGATATAACGAATCTCACAACCCATAGAATTTTCATGGTGCTCAAATAACAAGAACAGAAATCTGCACACTGTATCATTTCAACTGTGAGAAAACAGGTGTTGAGACCTACTGAGCAGATTGAAAAACAGACCTTGGTCTGCTGCTTGTGGTGTATAGAGATATTACTCTAACGGCACATATCTATAGTCCCTCTTTCTCTTTAACCATTGGACTGCATAAATCCTAGTAACTCAGAAAGCAAATTGTGTCATGGAACAAATGAAGAAGAGCAGAGGAGTTTGAAATTTCACTTCCCAAAGCATTCCACTAACAAGCTTGCCTTTTTGTTCAAATGAGGATTACTGAGGACGAGGGGAAGTGAATGAAGGAATAATCGGGCCAGTTCTTATTTTCTTAAATAGCAAAAACTAGCTATATAATGTAAAAATATACGTAACTTAGGGTTTTTTTTTTTAAAGAAGAGAATGACAAATTAAAACCCTTACGTCAGAAGAAAAATTGACGTTTTATTCTGAAATGCTTAACTTTCAGACTCAGAAACTATATTATAGTTGAAAGAGCATTTAGAAGCCAGGAAATTCCAAGGCAAGCCTAGAGCAGTGCTTATTTGGACACATTACACATGGTACATATTTTACAGGCCATGTCTAACAAATAACTAGAAGATGGAAAAAAAAGTGTCACATATTAAACATGGCAATATAAATTCTATAACAGAAAGAAGAAATTTGAGATGTCCTGAATGCTACTCTGAAACTAAATATTTTATTAATCCAATTTTAGCAATCCATTTTCGTTTTTTAAAAAATTAGAACAAAAAGTCATCCCAGTTGAAAAAAATTACATGTGTAAAGTACTATGTACATCACCATCCTATAAATCTGGGAGGCAGTTCCTTCTTTCTTGGCAACTCTCTAAAAATCTCATGAAACAAATGCTTGTTTTCTTCAACCCCAGACCTTAATTTTCTGTCTTTGGAACTTAAAAATACTTACATAATTGTCTTCAAATATGGCTTGACTTTTCTTCCTTGATGGAAACAGCATTCTTGCCAACTTTAAAATTTATAGCTACAGCCATATTTTCTTAATTTTTAAAAGCACAAAAAATACCACAACTCCTCAAAGTGATTTTGAAATGAACATTTCTTCATCTTCATAATCACCCCATGTCACCCCATGTCAATTCCAAGTCGACATACAAATGGAAAAGACATTTATCTCTGAGTCTCAGAGCAAAATATCACATTTAGAGATAATGATATTAGCAACTAAAAAACATTCCAGTGACAATCATACTTAAGTCACTATAACTTAATCACAAAGTAAAATGCTACATCTAGTAATCAAATGTGAGTGTGTATGTGTGTGTGTGCATGCGTGCATGTGTGTTGAGAGAGAGTGAGAGACAGGGAGGATCTCTCACTTTTATAGACTACACCACAGTTTTTTTTTTTTTAAAGGATTTCCACATAACTTCATTAATTTGATCTTCTGACAATCCTGAAAGGTATACAAGACAAGGATTATTATTCCATTTGATACATCAGTAAACAGATAGAGAAAGGCTGAGTGCCTTGCCAAAACCCAAAGCTCATCAGTGGCATATCCTGGAAAAATAACCTGGATTTTGACTCCCAGATCCATCCTTTAAAGAAGGTTTAAGTGTGCAATTTAAATTAGATGACAAATGTGTAGAGTTGCTGGATTTCTAAAGCAGTTTTAACTATGCTTCTTTTTTCCCCCCAATATCATAAAGATTCATAGTCTATCTTACTGCTGGAAAAATAGGACCAGACACCTGGATTACAGAGAGTCTACATCAAAAGATTGTGTCTGGAAGTCTTAAATTTGAAAAATCACATGCCCTTGAAAACCTATAAATCAATATAATCAATATAAAACTGTAGTTCAACAGCTTCTAAGACAGCAAATACGGAAATTTATTGGAAAAGAAACTCTAGCTCATTTGTCATAGAAAAAAAAGTTTCAAGAAGATTATAAAGGTGAAATTTAAATTGAAGCATGGGTTATATAATATGTTTAAACTTGAAATTTTCTAAAAGGATTATGACTTTTTCTACATTTTCCCCCTCTAATTGTGGTACCACAACAAGGCAGCATCCTTTTCACTCTTAAGTTATTGTGTCAATTTTACGTCGGTATCTGCTACATTTTTGTAAGAACCTAACTGGCACTTGTAATCCATGAAAATCAACATTAAAGGCAGAATTCCTGTTATTTTAAATGTCTCAAGGATTTGTTTGTCTTTTAAACTCCTCAGAGAAGCAGTGAGGAAAATGAAGAATGTGTCAGTTTAAATTTTTACATGTGTGTCTCTATGTTTTTCAATTATTAGGCAAGTTCCTAAAAGGCAAAAAGTTCTTTTCTTTTTCTGCATTTCGCTCCCCACCCACCGTAGAAACTAGAGTAGAGCTTGGTACAGGCTCCCTAGGGTTCATTGACTGTGGAGGAAACCTGGAAAAAATTCTCAGATCCCCTTTCCAGACCGAGGGATAAGGATGCACGTTACAGTCTAGGTGAATCTGCAGAAGGAAGTGAACAGAGCACATGGTGAGAGTCATGGGGCTAAAAGAGAGGGGGGCAAGTCTGTGCAAAATTCTGGTGCAGCAAATACCTATCAAGAAGTGGGTGTGGGCAGGGTGGCTGCAAAGACAACTAGACTAGGGCACATATTTATGGTTGGGTTCTAACAATATTACACATACGCCACAGACAGAAAATGGTGGAATAAATCTTATCTACCATTCACTAGTAATAGTCATTGGATGCAAAATATATTTACACAATTGGCTAGGACATCACAACCACAGCCAAGTTTAGGATGAGATAATTTTCTGTTGGATAATTGGGCCTGTTCTCCCTAAAACATGCCTATAAATTCCTCAGGCCACTGTTTTGTTTAGGTCACAGGGTCTGCATATCTATTTCTTCTAAGTCAGAATGTAATAAAACAAATTAATTTGACATTCTGCCATTTTTTTTATCTGTCTCTGTTCTTGAATACTCAGTTTAAGTAAAAGTACATAGGCTCTTTTGTTTTACATTTTACATAAAATAAGCTATATTTTATACAGAAAGTTGGAACCACTTAAATGCAAAAATATATTTTAGAGGTAGTATCAAGATTATTAAATCAAATGAAAACGAGTTTCACTAATGGGCAGGAAAAGATAGTGCATTCAAGGTCTTAAAAATGTCACACAGTGAATAGCCAGTCCTGAGTAACTAACCATAATGTTTGCATGATAATGTATTTGAAAAATGGCAATATTTGTATACACACTTTATAGAAAACAAAATGTTCAACCCGACAGATTACATCTAATTTCACAAAGGAAAGTTTAAAAAAAAAAAAAACAGGCCTCTAGATTCTGACTTAGAAAAGTTGAAATAGCTTGCATCCTGTAAATTACACGTGCTATTTCAAATTGATGTGAAAAACTGTTCCCCTCAAAATTTTAAACATGCATTAATTACTGTTTTTCTATAGGAGGTCAAGTACAAACTGCAGAACATCATCCAAAAATGATGAGATGATAAGTATGTAAGACATACATGACTTCATATGCTGCATAATAGAGCCAACTACTTTACTGAGAGAATAGTAAATATCCCTGCCCTACGACCATGGAGCTCAGACTTCCTAAGTAGGTAAACTGAGAGTTAATCTTGGCACAGATTGTATTCTCAAAGGTGGTGAAACTGTAGTAAAAATTCACAATGTGTGTTTGAGACAAACCAACAGGAGGAATGCATGTGACAATCAAGTGTTTCACGTACTTTGCGAAGCCAATGAAGTCTTCATGGTTGGTGTTGATGTAAGAGACTTGAATGTCAATCAATAGCAATACCTATAAGTCAAAGAGAAACACTTCAGTGAAAGCCCATCTAAAAATTATCAAACATTAAATTCAGTAATTGCCCACCAATTAATTACCTTCATATAATTTTTTTAAGGATACTTCAATTAGAATGAAATGGACCTTAACTTTTCTTTATTAGACTCATAATTTTACACTCCAAATTCATAAGTTAAAAATCTACTCTAGAAAAGTAAATCTGAGTAGCACATAAAGAGAACAGCATTATAACTTATAGGCATACACTATTTGCTACCTTAGTACAGAATCTAGAATTGTTTGATTTCTCTAAAATGTAGGCATAGTGTTCAAAAGAAGGACAAGCACAAATAAGATGTGTGGCAGGAGGGCCCATGAGGGGTGCTCCGAGCTTACTCTTCCTGTAGACATCATATATTAGCTACAAATTTGTAATTCACCTCTTGTTTTCTCTCTCCTTTTCTATCTTTAGCAGCTTAAAGAACCATCTCAAGACGCTTTACACATTTCAGGAGAAGCATTTGATCAGCTAACTCAAAAAGTCAATATACAAATAAATCATTGAATCCAAACATCAATCAGAAGCTGAGCATAGTGGTGTGTGCCTATAGTCCCAGCTACTCTGGAGGTTGAGGTGAGAGAATCACTTGAGCCCAGGAGTTCAAAGCTGCAGTGAGTCATCATCAGGCCTGTGAACAGCCACTGCATTTCAGTCTGGACAACACAGCAAGACCCCATCTCATAACAATAATAATAATAATAATAGTAGTTGGTGGTTGGTAAGATGGCTGAATAGGAACAGCTCCAGTATGCAGCTCCCAGTGAGATCAACAGAAAAGCAGGTGATTTCTGTATTTCCAACTGAGGTACATGGCTCATCTCATTGGGACTGGTTAGACAGTGGGTATAGCCCATGGAGGATGAGCTGAAGCAGGGTGGGGCACTGCCTCACCCAGGAAACTTATGGGGTCAGGGAACTCCCTCCCCTAGCCAAGGGAAGCCATGACTGACTGTGCCATGAGGAACGGTACATTCTGGCCCAGATACTACACTTTTCCCATGGTCTTCTCAATCTGCAGACCAGGAGATTCCCTTGGGTGCCTACATCACCAGGGCCTAGGGTTTTCAAGCACAAAACTGGGCAGCCATTTTGGTAGACACTGAGCTAGATGCAGAAGTTTTTTTTCCATACCCCAGTGGCACCTGGAATGCCAGCAAGATAGAACCGTTCACTCCCCTGGAAAGGGGGCTGAAGTCAAGGAGCTAAGTGGTCTAGGTCAGCGGATCCCACCCCCAAGAAGCCCAGCAAGCTAAGATCCACTGGCTTGAAATTCTCGCTGCCATCACAGCAGTCTGAAGTCGACCTGGGACGCTACAGCTTGGTGGGGGGAGGGACATCCGCCATTACTGAGGCTTGAGTAGGCGGTTTTCCCATCACAGTGTAATCAAACCTGCTGGGAAGTTTGAATTGTGCAGAGCCAACCACAGCTCAACAAAGCTGCTGCAGTCAGACTGCCTCTCTAGATTCCTCCTCTCTGAGCAGGGCATCTCTGAAAGAAAGGCAGCAGCCCCAGCCAGGGGCTTATAGATAAAACCCCCATCTTCCTGGGACAGAGCACCTGGGGGAAGGGGTGGCTGTGGGTGCAGCTTCAGCAGACTTAAATGTTCCTGCATGCCAGCCCTGAAGAGAACGTCAGATCTCCCAGCACAGCGCCCAAGCTCTGCTAAAGGACAGACTGCCTCCTCAAGTGGGTCCCTGACTTCTGTGCCTCCTGACTGGCAGACACCTCCCAGCAGGGATCAACAGACATCTCATACAGGAGACCTCCAGCTGGCATCTGGTGGGAGCCCCTCTGGGACGAAGCTTCCAGAGGAAGGAACAGGCAGCAAGTTTTGCTGTTCTGCAGCCTCTGCTGGTGATACCCAGGTAAACAGGGTCTGGAGTGGACCTCCAGCAAACTCCAACAGACCTGCAGCTGAGGGTCCTGCCTGTTAGAAGGAAAACTAACAAACAGAAAGGAATAGCATCAACATCAAAAAAAGGGTGTCCACACAGAAACCCCATCTGAAGGTTACCAACATCAAAGACCAAAGGTAGATAAATCCACAAAGATGAGGAAAAATCAGTGCAAAAAGACTGAAAATTCCAAAAACTAGAATGCCTCTTATCTTCCAAAGGATCACAACTCCTCTCCAGCAAGGAAAAAAAACTGGATAAATAATGAGTATGATGAATTGACAGAAGTAGGCTTCACAATGTGGGTAATGACAAACTCCTCTGAGTTAAAGGAGCATGTTTTAACCCAGTGCAAGGAAGCTAACAATCTTGAAAAAATATTAGAGAAATTGCTAACTAGAATAACCAGTTTAGAGAAAAACATAAATGACCTGATGGAGCTAAGAAACAGCACGAGAACTTCGTGAAGCATACACAAGTATCGATAGACAAATCAACTAAGTGGAAAAAGAATATCAGAGATTGAAGATCAACTTAATGAAATAAAGTGTGAAAACAAAATTACAGAAAAAGGAATAAAAAGGAAAGAACAAAGCCTCCAAGAAATATGGGACTATGTGAAAAGACCAAACCTACATTTGATTGGTGTACCTGAAAGTGACAGGGAGAATGGAACCAAGTTGGAAAACACTCTACAGGATATTATCCAGGAGAACTACTCCAACCTAGCAAGACAGGCCACATTCAAATTCAGGAAATACAGAGAACACCACAAAGGTACTCCTCAAGAAGAGCAACCCCAAGACACATAATCATCAGATTCACCAACATTGAAATGAAGGAAAAAATGTTAAGGGCAGCAAGAGAGAAAGGCCGGGTTACCCACAAAGGGAAGCCCATCAGACTAACAGCGGAAATCTCTGCAGAAACTCTACAAGCCAGAAGAGAGGGAGAGCCAATATTCCACATTCTTAAATTTCAACCCAGAATTTCATATCCAGCCAAACTAAGCTTCATAAGTGAAGGAGAAATAAAATCCTTTACAGACTAGCAAAAGGTAGGAGATTTTGCCACTACCAGGTTTGCCTTACAAGAGCTCCTGAAGGAAGCACTAATTATAGAGAGGAAAAACCAGTACCAGCCACTGCAAAAACATACCAAATGGTGGAAAACATCAACACTATAAACACTATGAAGAAACTGCATCAACTAATGGGCAAAATAACCAGCTAGCATCATAATGACAAGATCAAATTCACACATAACAATATTAACCTTAAAAATGAGCTAATGCCCCCATTAAAAGATTACAGCCTGGCAAATGAATAAAGGTCAAGACCCGATTCAGGCGTGCTTGTATTCAGGGAGACCGCTCATGTGCAAGACACACATAGCTCAAAATAAAGGGATGAAGAAAGATTTACCAAAAAAAAAAAAAAAAGCAGGGTTGCAATCCTAGTCGCTGATAAAACCTGCTTTAAACCAACAAAGACCCAGCCCAGAGCGGTGGCTCATGCCTTTAATCCCAGCACTTTGGGAGGTGGAGCGGGGCAAATCACAAGGTTAGGAGATTGAGAACATCCTGGCTAACATGATGAAACCCTATCTCTATTAAAAATACAAAAAATTAGCCAGGTGTGATGGTGGGTGCCTGTAGTCCCAGCTACTCAGGAGGCTGAGGCAGGAGAATGGCATGGACCCAAGAGGAGCTTGCTGTGAGCCGAGATCGCACCACTGCACTCCAGCCTGGGTGACAGAGCAAGACTCCGTCTAAAACAACAACAACAACAACAACAACAAACCAACAAAGACCCCCAAAAAAAGAAGGGCATTACATAATGGTAAAGGGATCAATGCGACAAAAAGAGCTAACTATCCTAAATATATATGCGCCCAATAGAGGAGCATCCAGATTCATAATGCAAGTTCTTAGATACCTACAAAGAGATTTAGACTTTCACACAATAATACTGGGAGATTTTAGCACCCCACCGTTGATATTAGACAGATCAACAAGACAGAAGGTTAACACAGATATCCAGGACTTAAACTCAGCTCTGCACCAAGCAGACCTAATAGACATCTACAGAACTCTCCATCCCAAATCAACAGAATATACATTCTTCTCAGCACCACATCACACTTATTCCAAAACTGACCACATAAATACACTCCTCAGCAAATGCAAAAGAATGGAAATCATAAATAACAGTCTCTCAGACCACAGTGCAATCAAATTAGAACTCAGGATTAAGAAACTCAAAACTGCACAACTACATGGAAACTGAACAACCTGCTACTGAATGACTACTGGGTAAATAACGAAATTAAGGCAGAAAGAAATAAGTTCTTTGAAACCAATGAGAACGAAGACACAATGTACCAGAATCTCTGGACACAGTTAAACCAGTGCTTAGAGGGAAATTTATAGCACTAAATGCTGACAGGAGAAAGCAGGAAAGATCTAAAATCGACACCCTTATATCACAACTAAAAGAACAACAGAAGCAAGAGCAAACAAACGCAAAAGCTAACAGAAGACAAGAAATAACTAAGATCAGATCAGAACTGAAGGAGATAGAGACACAAAAACCCCTTCAAAAAAAATCAGTGAATTCAGGAGCTGTTTTTTTGAAAAGATTAACAAAATAGACAGACTGCTAGTCAGATTAGTAAAGAAGAAAAGAGAAAAATCAAATAGACACAATAAAAAATGATAAAGGGGATATCACCTTTGACAGCAAAGAAATACAAACTACCATCAGAGAATACTATAAACACCTCTATGCAAATAAACTAGAAAATCTAGAAAAAAATGGATAAATTCCTGGATACATACACCCTCCCAAAACTAAACCAGGAAGAAGTCAAATCCCTGAATAGAGCAATAACAAGTTCTGAAATTGAGGCAGTAATTAACAGCCTACCAACCAAAAAATGCCGAGAACAAGACACATTCACAGCTGAATTCTACGATAGGCACAAAGAGGAGCTGGTACCATTCCTTCTGAAACTATTCCAAACAATAGAAAAAAAGGGAATCCGCCCTAACTCA